AATTTACATAATCGACGTCATCGATTATTTCAACTAATCGGTGCAGCCCTAGTTATCTGTGCAGGATGCAAAAGTTAATACTCCCCATAATGTTTGTGTTTGTTAAAGGAGGTTATTAAAGTGTGCTYATCTTCTGATTATGATGTCAGTGTTGGTGATTTGAATGTATTGGATCATTCCAAACTTTGTGTTGTGATGATGAAAATGTAAACAGTTGTGTGTCTGACTAAAATCCTTTCGTACTTTAGTCCTGGGTCACATTCTACTTATTGTTTTTATTTATCAGTTTCAAGATTGTTTCGATGCTTATTCAAATATTTTCACGTATTTTCCTGTTTACAGTGTTCTTCTTGGTAATGTTCCTGTGTTGCTACTCATAGAACAGTGTGGAGAGATGTGTCTGAACATGTTTTACCAGCAACAGCACAAGATTAAATAAACACACCCAGCGTACAGTTTGAACATTGTGTTGGACCAATAACACAGTGTCCCCATGTGAGGAGGAGGAGGTGCATTCCCCAGAAAAATCTGTCCAGGCAAATCACATTCCTTGTGACGTCGGAGAGCAAAATGAAACACGGGGCTGCTGTGGTGGTGACGTTTTATCAGCAGAGATATGTCGAAACTCTTTAAGGTGTTATTTACGTGCTTTAACTGCTCGACCCGGGCTGGTTTCCGTTCTTGTTCTTCCTAATCTTTTTATCGCTGACATAATGTGCATAACATGCTGGTTCATGCTGCTATTATCTTCCCTTACATACGTTTGCTGTAGCATCTGTTTGCGTGCACTCAGCGGCGTGGGGGTAGGAGCGGGGCCCCACCCTGCTGTGCGTTCGCTGCCAGATGACGTGCAGAGAAATCGATGGTGCTCCATCCGTTGGCTTACACAGCTGAACCGAACTGTGTGCRCAGACATGTGAGAGGCAGAAATGGGATTACGTAAGCTGGTGTCCAGTTTCTCTCTAAGTAGAGGGAACTCACTGGACTCAGTTTCCATGTTTAGAAGGGAAGTGGCCTGAGAGAAAAAACGTGTCTGTTTAGGTGGGTGTTGAAACATAATGATACTTGTGATGAATTTGGGCCRTACATACAAGTAGGTACACGAAAGCAGAACTACGTTTTCCCTTTKGATATCTTTGAAAGTCCAAATTGTTTGTCCACTTTACCAAACCTTTTAAACAAACTTAAACTTTTTCTGTTTTTAAAGTGAAATTGGCAAATAAAGATAAAATATTATGAGGAAACACAGCTGCCCTGCACAGGATGTCGTCCGATCTGAACTGCGAGCTGCAGATTGGATTCTCATAACACATTTATAAGTCTTATACTAGTAAGGTTAGAAATCTTTTTTAAAATATAAGTGGTATGTACAGTATTTACATTGAGTTATCCTGTCTGTCTTTAAAGGTACTGACATCTCTGTTGGAGAGGAGGTCGCCATCAAATTGGAATGTGTGAAGACCAAACATCCACAGCTCCACATCGAGAGCAAAATCTACAAGATGATGCAAGGAGGAGGTATTATTCAATCAGTCACATTTGTTACAACTGGTTTAAATTWATGTACAACCACTTTTATTCTGTTTGACACTGTCATCTGTCAGGGATATAATTAGGTCCAAACACCACAGGCAGCACTGTTGTAACTGCAGTGTCTATTAATCTTAGGGCAAATTAATTGTCTTTTCAGGGGTGTTAACCCATATTTTACTTTTAAAGGGTCAATATTATGTGTTTCTCAGGCATTTAGGTCAGTTCTATACCATAATAAAGTAACTGTCACCTTCAGTTGCTATTCAAATGCTATTTATATGTATAAATCAAAAATTTATTTGACTTTGCATCAAAGCCATTTCTAAATACCTTGAAATTGGTCTGTTTCTTTAAGAACCTCCTATAGTTATTATCATGCTCATTTCAGCACGTCATCACAACAGCTTCATGCTGTTTACAACCTGGAGCGTTGTAGCCTGTTTTTGTTTTAATAATAATAATAAAAAAGCAGCAACATTATACAGTATCGGTTTTGGAAAATTGCAACTCAGAATAAAACTGAACCTTACCATCAGACCAGAAGGTATGTTTTCTGAAGAACAGGAACGAGTAGAGACGATGTTTCAGCTGGTAAGATGTCTCCTAGTCATAGTCACAGACACACACGTCAGTGTTAAACTAATTTATTTATCRCTAAAATGTGATGTAATCCAGTTTAAGAGCACAGACGGTAATATTAGTTAAGAATGCTAACCGTGGATCACAGACAGACCAACAACTGAACAAAACATGAGTTGATTTTCAGGTTACCTGGGCAGATAACWGTGTTTGTGTCCTTCTGAGTGTTGGAATTGCATYGTCTTTTAGTGATAATCTTATTAATCCACTGTAAAATTTCYTTCTGTTCTGAAGAATATCATCCTTGAAGTGGCTCACACAAATGCATAAATAAATTTAAAAAATTCGTCGGAGGGTTACTTCAAAAAAGGAAATCAAACCATTTCTTAAGAACCATGTCATCTTTAGGAAGCTTGGTTCTAGACCCAACCGATCATTTTTGCTCCCCTGCCTGCTGCCTCAGGACACTACAGGATTTCTCAAACATGCATGAATGAGTCAAAGCAAGACTCTGGGCATGTTTTTGATGAGAGGATGATATTAAACATGATATGAAACTCAAAAAAGTTGATTTTACATGATATAGCCCCTTTTAATAAGTACAACTTTTGAATTCTGCTCATAATTGTGTAAACATCCAAATGATCTTTTTAATTAAACCCAAATATCACATTTGTTTTATGCCTAGCAAGCTTCTAGTGATTTATTTTTTTTATTTATCTTAATTATGTATTCACACTAAACCAAGAGAAACACAAAAACATTTACTGGAAGCAATAAAAAAAGTTAATTTTTGTTTGATTTCCTCCTTGTATCACCACTGTTTTAACAGATGTTTTAATGACAGTTTTTCATCAAATTGTTYTTTAGTGATGCAAGTTGGTCAAATCAGAACATAAATCCAGTCAGTTTCTATTAGTTACATTTTTAACAGCTGAAGTGTTTATCTAACTCCTCCCTCCCTTGTTTTAGTTGGAATCCCCACAATAAAGTGGTGTGGGGCCGAGGGGGACTACAACGTGATGGTGATGGAGCTGCTGGGACCCAGTCTGGAGGACCTGTTCAATTTCTGCTCTCGAAAGTTCAGTCTGAAGACGGTCCTGCTTCTGGCTGACCAGATGGTGAGAGGAAGAGCGTRCAAAGAAAATGTCTTCTCTTACAAATGTTGCATGGAAAACTGRAGACTGCACAGATCCACTCCACATAAATCAGGGATGGTTATTTCAGGCGAAAACACTCCTAGAGTTTGTTCACAGAGCGCCCGTGTTGTGTAACATCGATCAAACGTCAGACTTATAAAAGTCATTATTCTAGTTGAAAATAAATCTGGTGTTCCCCACCCTAAACCATGCAACCAAACATTTTTTTGCTACTTGTGTTTTATAGATCAGCCGCATTGARTACATCCACTCCAAGAACTTCATCCACAGAGACGTGAAGCCCGATAACTTCCTGATGGGGCTTGGCAAAAAGGGTAACCTGGTCTACATCATTGACTTTGGTCTGGCTAAGAAATACCGTGATGCACGCACACACCAGCACATCCCCTACCGTGAGAACAAGAACCTAACTGGCACTGCTCGCTACGCCTCCATAAACACACATCTTGGTATCGGTAAGAGCAGCGCCTTGTGCCTTGAAGGATGAAATGGTTTGCTTCCTGCAGACTGCCCTGCCTCACCGTCTCCCCTCTGGGTGTGATTACAGAGCAGTCCAGACGTGATGACCTGGAGTCTTTGGGCTACGTCCTCATGTACTTCAACCTGGGTTCTCTTCCCTGGCAAGGCCTCAAAGCTGCCACCAAGAGACAGAAGTACGAACGCATCAGTGAGAAGAAAATGTCCACCCCCATCGAGGTGCTCTGCAAGGGCTACCCCTGTGAGTTCAGCAGTCTTACTGCCAACATGAGCCTGTGTTTTACAAGCTCATCACTGGCTTCACACTGATCCGTCTCTTCGTTTCCTAACAGCGGAGTTCGCCACCTACCTGAACTTCTGCCGCTCTCTTCGGTTTGATGACAAACCCGACTACTCGTACCTCCGCCAGCTCTTCAGGAACCTCTTCCACAGACAAGGCTTCTCCTACGACTACGTCTTTGACTGGAATATGCTCAAATTTGTAAGTTAACTGATGGGAATAAGATGTGGTCTGAACACAGACCAGGTGAAAAGTTGTGTTCTGCAGCACGCTACACAAGGTTTTATRACCCAGAACACAAAAAACGTGATGAACACAAACTTAACTCTTATAAACACCCATGTAACGATTCAGTTTTATACTTATATTTAATACATGAAGATTTTGTTCTCTTTCTTATTGCAACCTCCTCACCTGAATTGGCAGCATTCTTTTTCTTTTCCACCACAAAACATTTTAGTTGTGAAAACTGAACTGTTCTGATCACCTGTCTCTGTTCTGGAGAGAGAGAGTTCAGCTTGTGTGTTGTTTGGTACAGTTCATGGACAGAAAAGTCTTTGAGGCAGAAGCCAGCAGTCAGGTCAGATGAAGGATTAGCATGTTGATGATCTGCTAAAGCAGGGCGATCCTCAGATCTCTCATGTTGTTGTCCTCTGTTTTGCAGTGACGTGTCTGTTTGCTAGTCTGCCTAACTGGAAAGCAGAGAAGTAGGAGGCTGTGGCTGAATAAAAAGACTAGACAAATATGTTTGTCCCTAAACATAGAACTCGTTTGGCTCTCCTTCAGATGATGAGTTCACAAAAGGGTATTTTAAAAAATTTTCACGGAGGTAGGGTTGGGCATAATCGTATCGTGTGCAATTAATCGTCAAAAAAACAATCGATTACTTTTTGCCACTTGACGATTAATATGATTAATGCCACCAGGCAGACTGACTGGGGATTAATCCGGTTGGTCTGCTCAGTGCTCCTCTCTGCTTCAAATATGACGAACATTAAAAATAAGGTTCTGTCATTTATTTATCTATCAACACAATTTAAAATATAATGTATAGCCTGAAATCTGCAATTTTCACACAATTTAGAACAATTTCTTACAAAGAGCAAATCTTTCCCACTAAATTGATCATGTGACTACAAAATAAGGGTGTCCAGGGACTTCAGGGGATTAATCATCAAATTAATCGTTATCAGCTAAACACCACAATTGATCGTGATGAATTTTCTTGCTAATATTGCCCAACCCTACACAGAGGAGGCAACAAAACAAACCCTCTCAACTCCGAGACTTCAGCGAGGAGAGCAGCCAAGTTTAGACTGGAGCAGGCCACTTTAACTCAGACATCAACGGAAGACAGAAACACCAAACTATAGGTTTTATGAACTGATTCACTCCAGGACTGTTTTGTCTCTGTTGTTGAGCAGTGTTAATGTTTGTTCCTGTTGTTGTTGTTGAGCAGTGTTAATGTTTGTCCCTGTTGTTGTTGAGCAGTGTTAATGTTTGTCCCTGTTGTTGTTGAGCAGTGTTAATGTTTGTTCCTGTTGTTGTTGAGCAGTGTTAATGTTTGTTCCTGTTGTTGTTGTGTATCAGGGTGCCAACAGAGCTGCAGAGGATGCAGAAAGGGAGCGTCGGGAGCGTGAGGAGAGGCTGAGGCACAGCAGGAATCCTGCTGCCAGGGGCATCGCTTCTGCTTCAGGTCGAGCCCGGGCAGCTCAGGACGCWGCAGCCCCCTCCCCACTCAACCCTGCATCACACACAGGTCTGAACACTTGCTCCAAACTGTCCGTCTCTGTTTGATCTTAGACAAGAAAGCTTTTGTTAAGGTCTAAATGAGATGTCAGCTTTTTAAAACTTGCTGAGTAATAAAAAACACCTGAGTTTGTTCAGTCCAAAATATGAATGTATTGAGTTTATTATCATGTAACTTTGGATCAGTTTGAGCCTGGTTATTTCCATCTTTCAGGAATGGAGAAGGAGAGGAAGGTGAGCATGCGTCTTCATCGTGGAGCACCTGTCAACATCTCCTCCTCAGATTTGACAGGACGCCAGGACACGTCCCGCATGTCCACCTCACAGGTAGCACACTGAGACAAAGACATCTCAGAGAGTTAAMCACAAACATTTTGTCAACAAAGGACAAAAACATTTCTCTTTGACTAAATAATTTGGTTCCTGTTTATTTCTGTTCAACACAAACAAATCACTGACCTGTCAGCTGTTGAGCCAGTCTGTAATCTAACATCTACCAGCAGTTGGGGGGTGGGGGTGTGCTCCTGAATAATGCTAGAGGAAATGCTGAAAAATAAACCCATCAGATGGATACAAGAAACAGTAAWGACTCTAACCTTGAGTCRTGCAGTTTATATCTTGTAGCTCCACAMATCTTCATCCCTTTGTTCCAAAAATAAAATGCTGCACCGGAGCGTCCRGTCAGAGGCAGGTCCAGATATAAACCCTGAACTAAACAAGCAGGTCAGATATTATTTAACTGGCTCTGTTTGAACAACAGCTTCAGAATCGACATGCTAACACGTAGCATTAGGGTGGTCCTCTACAGTATGCCAAAAAAGTGACATTTTTTAAGGTGCTTTCTGACAAAATTGTTCATTTTGCAAAGAAAATCCTTTATACCAAATTTTATGTCAATACAACTTTTCTAACCACTGCTGCTTGTGGGTGAAAATTAGAAAGGTTGAGCTAATTTGTGCATGCCACCATTGGTAGAGCAGATGCCTCTCAGCAARAAGGTCGCCGGCTCGAATCCCTTCTGAGTAGAGTTTGCGTGTGTGGGTTTTCTCCAGGTACTCTGGCTTCCTCCCACAATTCAGAAACAAAATTGGTAACTCTAAATTGTCCCTAGGTGTGAGTGTCTGGTTGTTTGTTTCTATGTGGCCCTATGACCACCCTGTGACCTATCCAGGGTGTACCCTGCCCCCTGTACAATGATTGCTGTGGGCACCAGAAACCCCCCATGAACCTGAAAGAAAGGAGATGATGGATGGATGAACAACAATCATCCCTCATTTAAATGGGCTTACAAGATAAATATGTACATGGAGTCTGATGGAGGTCACATTTAAAACATAATGTGGACGTTCACRCAAGAATATATATCTGCGAGGAAATGTTAAGATCTGCTGTGTAAATAGTTAAACCTAGTTTTTATAGCATGTGAACATTAGTAAATGCTTCATTATGTTTTAGTTCTATATTCCAGTTGTTAAAGTACTGTTGTTGATGTTTGTCTCAGGCTCTGTCCCGGGTCACGCCCAGCGGCCTCCAGTCTGCAGCTCCTCGATGAAGTCGGTGTGTTTTTACCGTGGAGGCCTGAACATCTCCCACCTGCAGCACGAGCACTCTCACGCACATCCACATCGATTACAAGACTCTGAAATGACCAGTGGACTTCCTGCCAGTGCACAAGAGTCTGGCTGTGCATCTGTTCACYTGACAGAGGAAGAGATGCACAGACAGCAGATTGTGTACATATGTGTGCGTGTGTGAAAGACATGGGCAGGTGGAGACCGCTTTGGTTGCCTTAATGACCATCTTGGCTAAGTAGCAGCCAAAGCAACACTTTCTTCCTCTCTGATGGAAGATGTTTGAAACTCCTCGTCCCTGCTGTTGACGAAGCCATGGATTCATATTTCTCTGGCATCTTTTTTTTTCTCTTCTTCAGCTTTTAATTTGACTTGTTTTTAGTCTTTTTAGCATTAAAACGTCTCCTGCACCAGCCTCAAAACGGTCTGAACCTGGAGAACGAAGCGTTAGACGTTAAAGAAAAAAGTGGGCGTGTGCTCCACCGTGGCAGTGTTTGAGCACAGTGCAYAAACTCTGATCTGTTCTGTAAAAATACTCAGAAACCCCTCACTCAAGCTGAACGCCTCGTCTTATTTAGTTTTTAGTAGTTTAAACAGCACAGGTAGTTCATGTCCTCAGGCGGACRTTGTTGTAAATCCAGAGACACGCAGCACATTTAGTTTGTGTGTTCAGGTTGTGACTGCAGTGGAGAAGCTGTGAACGGACCAGAGACAGTGGGCTCAGTCTGTCCACGTCGTGCGTTTCAGACGTTTTTATTCAGTCAGTAGTGATGTGGTTTGTCTGTGTTTCTGTGGGTCTGTCTGAGGCTTTTTTACACGCTTCAAACGGTGGGGGGTCAACATGTTAACTCTTTGTTAATCTAAATACACTTTGTAAGATTTTAACTCCACTGCAGCTCGAATCTCAGTCCAGGTGAGCATCTGCTTCCTCATGGAGTTTAACCCTTCTTTGTTTCAGGCACAACTTGTCCTTTTTCTTCTTCTTTTTAACCTGGACCCATAAAGCAGTCACAGAATGTGGTCRGGACTGGATGAGAGAAGCTTTTTGTTGTTTTTATTTAATGGCAGTTATGAGTTTTGCAGTAACAGCTGTTTCTCACTGAGCTGCGACTGCTGGAGACGAGTTGGAAGCTTAGAATTAGTAGAAAAAAACAGGAAATTCTCAGTCTCGCTGAGTTCTGTGTTCACGAGCACCGAGTCACGTTTTGAGCAACCAGTTTATAACAATCACAGCTTATTTCTGTGTGCACAGATTAAACTGTACTCTTTACTTGAAGTAGTTGTGTAGTCACGTGAGCCACCGCCCACACGTTTAGGACTCCATCATCTGGATTATACTTTAGAAATAAAGATAGGCAGATTGGGACTATTTAGACCTGGGTGTGTTTTCTGTTAGAGGGCAGCGTCGGTGCAGGTGTCACATGAGCCTGTTGTTCCTGCGTGTGACAAACAGGTTCATCCTAAACCTCACAAACGCCAAGTGTTAACATCTGTCACTCTACGGTGCATGATTTTATAAATGCTGGTCTGTGAAATATTTCCTGCAGGAGAGTTGAGTTTGCTACAAAGCTATTCTAACATTAACAAGAGATGAACCACTGTTAATTAAAACTTGGACACTAAATAGCTCATTGCCAGAAAGCAGACGTTGGATCAGTTTGACACTGCTGAGTCAGCTGTAGATCTCTTCTTTTCCTAACTCAGATTTTGTCTGAAGACGCCTGGAAGTCACACACAGCTGAAGACGGCTACACCTGAGACAAAATGGACAAGGACGACAGTTTTTGAGAGAATATTAAACAGATTCATTGAACATATTCAAAACTACAAACCTCTGCAGCTCGCATGAGCAAACCCAGCAAAGAGCCGTTTTCTCCAGCTGGTCTCCAGGAATCTCAGCTCAGTGAGACGCCACCTAAAGGACTTTTTTTTTCGTACAAAGTACGGTTAGTTTATCGTAGCGCTAACCAGCTTGTGGAAACAAGTTTAGAGGCTTAAATGTGTAGATCTTTCTAACGGGCCCTTAAATTCTTCCTGTTCCAGCAGATGGTTAAAACTAAACATCTAAAACAAGAAGCAGGTGTGGAGGATTATTTAATTAGTTTAAGATTAATGGAACAGGAAGGTGAGACGTAAAAGAACAAATACGATTAAAAACAAATGTTTCATCTTTGAACCATCTGAAGATTTTAGGTAAAAGATGGACAAAGTTTAGCCGGTTGCCTRACGGAAGCAGACATGTTTTTGTTTTTGTTTTTCCAGTTTTTGTGGAGTGAGTGTTATGTAGAGAAAGATGTTGATGGATCTGCTGAACTGATCTGAACCCTGCAGGTTTTAAAGTAGAAAATCTGTGTGATAGACTGATACATGTGTTTTTGTGTAGTTTGCTGGGGGAATGGGTCTTAGCTGTAATGTGTTCATGTTTGTTCTGTTGTTGTGTCGTCCCAAAGAGCTGCTGTAGGCTCTCGGGCGATGATTTGTACAGAGGGACAGGGAACGCTTCACTCCGATGAGAATTCTGCTAAGATGTTTTTTTGGGGATTTTTTTTTCTGTCTGAATATATTTCACCTGTTGGCTTAAAAAAGTGGTGGAGAAGCGAGTGTCTTTTTGATGGTTGAACAATTTTTCATTCAGTAAATTCAGATTTTTGTGCCCAGCGGTCCAACAGACGATGTACCACAATGCATCTTTACTGTGGACTCATGGGAGATGTTTCTGTTCACTCCCATCTCGATGCTCCTCAGTTGTAATGCCACTGTATTTGTGTGTTTTAAATTTGTGTAAATAAATTAATAAGTACTTGTATGTGTGGATGAAACAAAACTAAAGGTGAAGTTTAGACTAATGGTGCGTTCACACCGAACGCGATTTCAGCATCAGGAGCATCAGGTTTACATACAAAGTCTATGGTGGACACG